GACTGAAGAAGGCATGCTGAGATGGAGCATGGTCGAAGCAGTTCGGATTAGTATTCATATTCAAAGCTATTCTGGCTATTGCGATAACGCGCATGACTGGAGCCAAGCGTTCAAGGGCAATCGGGTAAAATCCCCAGAGTCCTCAACGAATAACAGATGAGAATGCTGTGACATCGAAATGACATTGCCAAACACACTTTGTTCACTTTGCTCACCTGATGTAGGGCTATCGGTGAGTTTTTCTGCGGACTCGATCGTAACTGATGAATGAGCCTGAAATGAAACGAGACGCAAATGAGTTAGTTTGTGATTTGGACTGAAAAAAGCACTCTCAATGGATTGAGGCAATCAGATGGTTTTGTGAGGAACCTCAGTGTGAGCTGAATGTCAAAAGTCCAACTTTTACTCGCGGGACGCTTTAAGTGTTCACTAGGCCAGGTGGAAATTACAATGAATAAGGAGAGCAGTTCAGTAAAGAAGACGCTACAAGAAATTCAAAGTTGCTCAGACATACTTATGAAATTCATTAAACTAAGTTTGCAAATGGCTGCGTATTGCAGCTGTCGCGATTGTCGACTATTTCGGGATTACTGTAACCAATTGTAGCCTTTTTGGCGCTAAATCGACTTACAAGTAAAAAAAACTCCCTTTTGGCGGCAACCACGCTGTGTCCCCCCGTTGATCTGCCAACACTTTCTCTTGGTTCTCTCATCCAACTAAGTTTTGCGTGCGAAGTTTTAATGGAGCACTCTTAGCTTTTTGGCACGTTAACTTTGAGAACAGGGTTGCCTCCAGATAAAAAAGACCTCAAGGAGTGAGTCGGAGCTATAACACCATGCAAGCATTCGCACTACGATACATTGTGTACTAACCCTTTAAGGAACATAATTCGCGCTCGAAGGAGCTCCCTGTAACGAATTTTGAGGACAAGGGTCCCCTTCCAGTGAAGAGTAGCGTATCGTAATAGCATTGGCTGGTCCAATTACGCTCTGCAGATCGTAAAGCATTTGGCTAATAGGAGAGTTATCACAAGCAGATGATGGTGTCTCGATCATATTATAGGTGATCCAGCAAAAATTTGCTTCTCTGCATTAAATCATTTTCGTTCCGCGTTTACTGTGTCCTTTTTCTCAAAAGTAAGCTAAGAGTGTTTCACAGAATTGCTGGGTTATGGACAAAACGCTCACAAACGGGTCTGACCCGCACCTTACGACTGCCTTCCGAATTCGCCAAGGTAGTAGTAAGGATCACGATCACATAATTGGACAAGGTAAGATGGACCTGCCGATATAGATCCTAACCCAAAAATGGCAGCAGAGGGAGGAGAGGGCCGGAGGGACTAAGAACAAAAAGAGATAGTGTAACTGCTCTTTAATAGAAAGCCACGATATAGCCGTCTCCCTTCCGCCCCCTCCCTCAATATGGTTACGACCTCCTTCTGGATCATGGTGCAACAGCGTCGTTAAAATATTTTTCCCCATTTCCCACCCCTCTATCGAGCTGCCGTCGAACGGGCGGGAGGTACCTGCGATGGTCTAGAAATCTTTCACATTTTTGCTATAACCTTCGTCATCTGCACTCCGCTGTCTCGATCTACAAAGTCCCTCCCCAAACCTCGAATGAAACCCCTTGTTCTCATATAAACAAGTAGGACCCCCTGTCGAGTAGTCCTCGACGACGGTCCAGTCTGCCCTCAACGCTCTGTGCAGAAAGGACTCATATTTAGAAGTTCAAAAAGTCGCGATGGAAGCTCCACCCACTCTTTACAAGGTAGCGCCAATCAAGCCAAAGTCTGAACCAGTTTGAAGGTTCTCGAACTGTGCCACATATCGTTTAAGTAAACAAACCAAATTACCTGCTCAGGACTGACTAATGGACGGGGTTCTTCCTCGATGTACTTGCCCTCATCAACATATTCTTCTTGAAGAACTGAAATGCCATGGGTACAATCTCCGAAATCTCTTCCAACTGAACATTTTAACTAACCTGGTGATGGCTCATGCTCCGCTTCACTAGGACGATCCATTTCATCCTCTTCATCAGCTATTGATTCTTTCATGAACGACAACTGCTCTTCATACCATTGGCTGAGATTCGGCTTATTCACCATTTCAGGTATAGAGCGAATGTCAAACCCGCTCGATTTTTGACTCATACCGCTCTGATCCCATGGTGATCCGGCACTGCTTACGGGAGACGTCTGATCTTTAGGTATCACGCGCATCATCATGCGAAGGCCTGCTTTTCTGTCTTGCCTGAACTTCAGCTGCATCTGGGACTTTGGAAACCTCGTTAATGCGTGGTGCCACACCTGCGAACGGCCAGCTTCGTCTGTTGGTGCCGTCCTGCGCAATCCTATCGATGTGGTCGAGCTCCTCTTGGGTGAGTTCAGTGGGCCTTTCTGATGAAATTGAAGAAAGAACCTGGGCACCTCCTGCTCCTCCTTCTCCCATGGCCATCTTGTTAATTCTGTCGATGTGGTCGAGCTCCTCCTGAGTAAGCTGTGCAGGTATTTCGTGAGAAACAGGCGATGGTGGATGAACTTCTTGCCTCATTCCCAAGTCTCCAAGTGCCGTCCTAGCGTCTTCTGCTTTGTGCATAACTCCTTTGAAGGCTTTGAGACCGAATCCGGTGAGAGTTTTAGTGGTGAATAACGAAGAACCTGAGGGTGATGTCGCCGCTTTGTACTTTTCAGCAGGTTCCGCTAGACTCTGATCTCGATGAACAGACTCCCTGGAACCACCTTGGAAGAATTCGATCCCGGATTCTTGTTCCATAGCCATTTGGGCAATTCTGTTAATGTGATCCATTTCCTCCTGTGTGAGCTCTGCAGGTTGCATGTGAGAAGCAGGAAGTGGCGGTAGGACTTCTTGCTGAGTTTCTTCCTCCATTGCCATTCGGGCTATTTTGTTGATATGATCCAACTCCTCCTGGGTAAGCTCGGCAGGTTTCTCTTCCACCTGTTGTAGACCACTTTGTGGCCTGCTGTCTTCCTCCATGGCCATCTGGTTGATCCTGTTGATATGATCTAGTTCTTCTTGAGTAAGCTGCGGTTCTTTTTCTGTACTTACTGACTCGCCAGCCGTTTGTGGAGATGCTGTGAATCCTTTTCCCATGGTTATCTCTCCAAGAGCAGTTTTTGCTCCTTCCGCTTTGTGCATGACGTCTTTGAACGTCGTGATACCAAATCCAGCCAAGGGTTTCATGTTGAAGAGTGAAGAAGCGAAGGATGATCGCCGGCTAGATACTCCTTCCTCACTTTGAAGTGAACCACTTCCACCTTCTTCAGCAACCCCTGCAGATCGGTCTTCCTCCTTGACTGATTCGAGGTCAAGCGAATCGAGCTCAGCGTGCTGAGAGGGTTCATCCGAGCGCTCACGCTCTTTTGGATGGGTGGAGCCGCATCATCTTCGCGCTCTCGAGCGATAGATGGTCTTCCACTCTCTGGTCTTGATGGACCTTTGGACATCGTGCTCGAGGCTGCTTCCCCAATCGCATCTTTGACTTCTCCAACCTTATGCATCACATCCTTGAATGATTTGAAGCCGAGTGCGGAATAGGGCTTTATTGGGTGCTCTGATGAGGATATTCGGCGCTCTTGCCCTGATCTGACATCACGATGAGCGTCCAGCTCAGGCTCATAGTCTACAGCTTCCTGGCCAATCGATATACGATCTTCGTCGTCAGCTATGAGTTCCGCAGACCCTACAGAACGTCTACCGTCCACGGTCATTTGCTGTAAGTCTTCCTTCACTCCTTTCGGTTCTTGTGTGACTTCGGCTCTACCTTCAAAAGCCGCTTTGGCTTCTTCTGCTTTCTGCATCACACCTTTGAATGCCTTCATACCGAATCCACCCAGAGCTTTGGTGCCAAACAGAGGACCTGAGGAACGGCGCGAGGTTGGTGAGAGTTCTTCCTTTGATTCGACCATAGTCGAAGAGAGAGGAGGACGCTGGCTAGAGCCTTCGTCTGATTCCATTCTACCGTCTTCCATTGCCAGCTGAGCGATCCTGTTGATGTGGTCAAGCTCTTCCTGTGTGAGCTGAGCGGGTGGTTGTTGGGGAGTTTGAGGCAATTGGACGAACTCCCAACTTGTTTTCGTCTTCCGTCGCCATCTGTGCGATTCGATTAATGTGGTCCAACTCCTCCTGGGTAAGTTCAGAAGGTCCGGTGGGGGTATCAAAGGCTGCAAATGGACTTCTTGTTTTTGTTCCTCTTCCATGGCTATTGATTGATTCTATTGATATGGTCAAGCTCCTCCTGAGTTAGCTGGGAGCTCTCTCCTTCAGAAACGGCTGATGGAGGTTGCTGAACGTCTTGTTTTGTTGTCAAGTCTTCCAATGCCGTTCGAGCGCCTTCTGCTTTCTGCATAACTCCTTTGAAAGCTTTGAGGCCAAACCCTGTCAACGATTTAGTACTGAATATTGAAGAGTCAAGAATGGATGAAGCCGGTTGTTGTTCTCCAGCAGAGCCTTCTGAAGGCGAAGTTGGTGTATGGGACTCCGTAGATTGTTCGTCTGATACTTCTTCGCTCATCAACGATTCGTCATAGGGGGACTCCTCACTATCTTCCCGCCGAACTACTGGCGCACTATCCTCTTGCATTGCCATCTGAGTAATTCTGTTGATGTGGTCCAACTCTTCCTGCGTTAGGTCTGTAGGTCCACCAGGAACAGCAGTGATTGATAGACGACCCTGTTGCGCAGCATCTTCTTGCAGCGCCATCTGGTTGATTCTATTGATATGGTCAAGCTCCTCTTGGGTAAGGCCGATCGGTTCCTCTTTTGGTTGAGGAAGAGGAGAACGAACTTCTGGTCTCACCGTCAAATCTTCAAATGCTGTTCGAGCTTCCTCAGCTTTTTGCATCACACCTTTGAAAGCTTTCATACCGAATCCGGTGAAAGCTTTCTTATCGAATATCGGCACTGAAGAGCGAGGTGAGGCGGGCGCGACCTCCTCTCTTGGTTCCTCTAGTGCACGAGGCTCTGGCGGAAGATGACCCACGTTCACGAGTTCCTTTTCTGGCTCGTCAGACTTCTTGGGAAGCTGATGAGGAGTAGCCTGTTTGTCTTCTTCTTCCAAGGCCATCTGCGCGATTCTGTTGATGTGATCGAGTTCCTCCTGGGTAAGTTGAGATGGTTCCTCTTGTGAAGCAGAAGGTGGAGCGTGAACTTTTTGTGCCTTTGTTCAGATCGTCGAGCGCTGTCCGGGCTTCTCCTGCTTTCTGCATAACATCTTTGAAAGCTTTGAAACCAAACCCTGAGATGGCCTTTGGGCTGAACGTTGGAGCAGGAGAAGTTGGTGCATGTTTCTCGACTGGCTCGATCAATGATGATGCGGGCGGCTGAGGCTTAGAGGGTTTCTCCGACATCCTTCGTTCTGGTTGAAGATGAGGAGCAGACATTTCGGATAACGGCTCACCAGGTCGTTGTCTGCTTTCTTCTCTTGCCGCCATTTCGTTGATTCTCCTAATGTGATCCAACTCCTCTTGGGAAAGTTGGGCAGGTTGTTGTCTGGTAAAAGGAGATGGGCCAGGAATCTCTCGGAGTGCTTCGCCTTCCATCGCCATCTGGGCGACTCTATTGATGTGATCGAGCTCTTCCTGCGTGAGCTCGGGAGGCTCCTGTATGGATGGAGGACGAGCTGATCGAACTTCTGGCTTTGTTTCAACTGCTTCCGCCATTTCAGTGACTCTAGCAATATGATCAAGTTCTTCTTGAGTGAGCTGTGGTGCCTCTGTCTGGGAAACACGAGGTGATGGGTGAGCCTCTTGCTTCACTGTTAAATCTTCAATCGCCGTTCGGGCTTCATCTGCTTTATGCATGACGCCTTTAAAGGCTTTAAGGCCAAACCCGGTAAGGGATTTGGTGCCAAATATCGAAGACGATGTCGAAGGTGGAGTGTGTGGAGGCTCCTCATATTGTTTTCTTTCTTGCTCCATCGCCATCTGGGTGATCCTGTTTATATGATCGAGTTCTTCTTGGGTGAGCATGGGTGCTTCTGTGAAAGAGGTGCTGGTGAAACCAGCGATTTCTCGGCGACTTCGTCAGGATGTTCGCCTTCCCTTCCATGGACGTCAACAGATTCCTTTGGCAAGGGCACATCGGACTGAAGATTGTCTGCTTGAGGGGCTATCTCTGGTTCCGCTGCCGCTTTGGGTTCACCTTTAGTGACAGCAGGTGTGGGGCTTTTAGGTTCCTCACTTCCGTACACGACATTCCTCAAGGACTTTAGTCCAAATCCAGAGAACCCTTTCATTGAGGGCATGAAAGATGAGGATGGAGAAATACTGAAAATGGAGCCGCGACCATGTTGCTCATCGGTAGAAAGCAGTGACCCAGAAGGTGTAGTAGCTGTTCCAGTATCGCTTTTCTGCGCGAGCGTGCCTTGATCTTCAGGAGCTTCCTGGGAAGACAGTTTCGGCCAGACCGGTTGACTAGCTTCGTCCTGCATGGCCAACTGAGCGATACGGTTGATGTGTTCTAGCTCTTCTTGGGTAAGCCCGGTGCCGCCTTGCTCCTCGACGTGAGGTAACCTCGGGGTCGTTGAAGGTCTCACACCACTGGGCTTTGTAATGAACGTACTCAGTTCTCTTTCAGCTGATTCACTGACTTTCCTTATGTGTTCCAGCTCCTCGAATGTAAGTTCGCTCTCCGCCTGGCCGCTGGCTGATCGCTTCGGCTCAGCCAACCTAGACTGAAGATTTCCAGCAGTGCTGTGAACAGACCGACCACCATCTACCTCTTGTTCAGCCAGCTTTGCGACTTTCTGAATGTTCTCGATCTTTTCCATGTCTGAAATCGGCGGAGGTGTAGTAGCTGATGGCGATACGGCTCCACTGGTCGGCTCTTTGGCCCAGATATCTGTGGCAATGGAAGATGGCGGAGCTTGCCTTCCTCAGCAGAGATCCGAAACCCTCATATGAAGGTGTGGGTATGGGCGACGTGGTTGATGGCACAGGTGCTTCTGGAGAAGTAGACTTCGCCGCTTGTATTTCTCTCGAAGCCGTTGTTGTAGCATCAAGTGCCTCATCCACTTCTTCGGTTCTCGGTTTCTTGGACAAGTCCTGGGGCGGACCTTCAAAGTTCCGTTTCGATTCCGCTCGCTGGTCCATTTTCCGAACAGCATCATCAACAGACTGAAGCTGATCGTAGCCGTCGTCCAGCGATGTTCGTGACGACTGGAATGACTCAGTACGGGCGGTCAACTGATGAGACAGCGGTAATTTGATCATATAAGGAGTGCGATTCTCGGCCTTCTCGAGGACGTTTTGAATGTGTTGACGCTCAGCATCCGACAGGTTTTCCATATCGGGCAGCATTCGAAGAGCCGACGAACTCCTGAAAATGGATTTATTTCGAAGATGCTATTTGGAATGTAAGAGCTCCAAAGTTTTCATAGGCATGGTCAACGTTAGTAAATCCTGATTTCTGCCGAACTTGCTTGAAATATCAAAACAAGACGGTCCTTTCCTTTTGCGTCAAAAAGGCCCCCTTCCTCAAACTGCAGTTACTGGCCGCCCTCAACCTCACAGACCCCGCCCACCACGCAAAAGCCACACCCCTCTAAAAACCTATGTTGTAAACTATTTTTTTATTCTATGATGATGACATGGATAAAAGTGTGAATCGACTAGCACACACGATTCTTGCACAGTTCCGATGAACCTAGGGAACATGAAAAGGAAGCCCGTGGCCTCTCATTCAAATAGCGCTCTACCTCCAGTGATTCAAAGGCAGCGGACACGCTAAATTAGATGTTTTCATAAAAAGGGGGTGGAAAAAGACCGTACCCGGAAGGAACAAATCGTGGCTCGGTTCGCGCAGAAGGCGCGCTTGCAACCACCTAAAACGACCTTCCTCGTGACTAGGGTACGCTAAATAGGACGTTCATTGAAAAAAGCGTTGGAGAAGATCCGAGAGGAATGGTGGCTTGGTGTGCGGGGAGAGGGGCTTGTAGCGACCTACAAAGACATTCCTCGATGCTGGGATCACTTTCCCAGCTGCATTCAGCTTAGATTGACCGGTACCTGCACGGCTGATACCTGCCCGTCAGCGCTCCAGCCCTTTTGTAATAAAGCAGACACAGCTAGGGGTTCATGCTGATGATCTGAGCTATTCTTGGGCGCGCGGAAATCTGGCAGAGAGACCCTCCACGCCGACAGAGCCATTTTGGTAACTTGAGCCCGTTTATGTTTGTTTTATTGTGCCACTTTTGGTGGTAACTTTGCTTCGTGAGGGCGACCAAATTAACGTACCCCTGAACGACTCCCCTAGTAGGCAGACGCCAAATTTACCGCTCAGAAAGTGCTTTTGCATCAAGAATTCGATGTAAGCGTGATACTAGGCCTATAATGATTTTCGGCACTAAGAAAGGGCTACAACTATCATCGTACCTCCTCGACATATTTGGCGATACACTTCGGTTCGATTTGCTGAGCACAGCCATTACGTGGTCGAGCTCGGTCTGCGATAGGCCTTCCAAAGCATGATCGGGCAATCTGATGGGGCTCTCAGTGGAAGCTCGTGATTCGACACCAGACGACCTGAAGATTTGACATTTTCTGTCAGTTTTGAAGAGAAAGGTTTTTCCGTTCATACCGAATAGCAACCAAACGTCCGGTGAACCTACCTTCTCAACAGATTCAAAATATCTCCACTTCGATCTTCAGAAAGTTTTCTAGGCCTGTTTTCCGTTGTCGATCCAGGTGGCAGCGAGACAGACGGAATGGAAGATCTCGAACGTTCACTGGCAAAACTTGGTCTTTTCGAGAATAGTGACGAGAACAAACCAAAGCTCTGCACATCTTTCGGAGCCGGTTCGACCGTGAATGCAACCCTATAATGAGTAGTTCAAGCTTTTTTCATTATTAGCCCCGATTATAAACTTATTAGTTATTCCTTTTGATTATTTCCTCGAAGTGGTGAATAGTGAAAAATAATATTTGTAGCTGTACTCCAGTGAGCATATTTACTGTTTTTTTTTTGTTAACAAAAAACAAATTTTGTCTGGATTAAATGCGAAGTTTACGATGATAAGGTAACCCATGATAAATAAAAAAAGCGGTTTAGACGCATTGCAGTCTCATCGACGCAGCCCTCGTCATCGCCAAAGCTCTCTCTTCTAGACGCCTAGAGTCAGACGGCAAGGAGTCACCCAGTGGTGGGTC